TGAAGCCTCTTCTTAGAGACCAAAGGTTGGATCAGAGCGAGCAGCTGAAAGGACACATCTATGAATGCAGTCAGAGACTTTCTCACAACCTCACACTTCATCTCATCACATTTACACTCAGGCTTAAACTCACACATTTATAACAATCTCAATGGATCAGCTGAACACACAGAGGATAACATCACTAGGTGTAACGTGTGCTGCTGTACTTTAGAAACCAAACAATGCCTGAGTTACATCTTGATATTTATTAAATAATCGCTTTCTTATTTTCAAGTGTGTGTGAAGCTGACACACATGAGCAAAAACTGTTGATTTTATTTGAAAGTTAATATGTCTTTAATATTTTTTAGTTCTTCAACATATGTTTAATCAGCATGTGGCTTCTTTGTTAGTCACTGAAAATATAAACAGACTCTGGTTCTGAAAATAAATCAATATTAAAATTAATATATGATCAGATTTTCATTTGCAACAATGTGGACACCATCATGTCATCTTTGGCTCCTCCAGCTGAGACACACCTTCACAGACACACAGCCCCTCCCCTCACTAACACACTCACCTGTCTGTGTTTCTGCAGGTTTCAACATTCACAATGTGACGACAACTTAATGACTGTGTTTGCTTTATTTTAGGGGAAGACACCACCACACCTCCACCTACATCCATCACTCTTCCTCCTGTTCTCTCTGTGCTGTTGCCCATTGGGTCAGTGTATGTTGTGGTTCCACTGGTGTTACTGGTTCTGCTGGTGAGACGATGTGTTCACAGGAAACTTGAAGGTTTGTACATATTCATTCTTATTCATTGTGGTATTTTGTTTCCATTCTGTCATCATAATTTGGTCCATTTAGATTCTTAAATCATAAAAGTGTTTACTTTAACTCGTTTCAGCAGATGGAGAAGATGACATCACCAGTAGCATCACATGCAGTGTTGTGAAATCATCCAATCATCAACAACCTCCAGTCAAAGAAACCAGAGAGGAAGGTTTGTGTGTTTCCTTTTTTCGCGTTTAAGACAGGAAGTAAGTAATCGGTTCAGTTTGTCTGTCAGCAGTCTGGCACACAGTCATGTTCATGTTCTGTGTGATGGAAGATACCAAGAACAAAATCATGTCAAGGTCACACCAACTGTGGAAATCAGTAAAAACAATATATTACCTGTTTTTATGGATCATCTTCAACCTTTGCAACAATACACTTGCCTTTGAGAACATGAGTACCTAGGTTGGCAAAGCATTTGACTTGAAATTCGCTGTTAGCACCAAGAACTAAGTTGACCTTGAAAAATAATTCAAGTAACCACATCGAGTAGATCCCAAAAGTGGATTCTGTTCATCTGGACGTTGTATTTTCAGTTGAAGAAACATTTTGTCACTCACTCAAGTGACTTCTTCAGTCTCAGCTGACTGCAGGTTTCTCCAGCATTATAAACATAATGACTGAAACTAGCGCCACTAAATGAACAATAGGCTGTAGGCTTTGAGGTCAATTCGTTGATCGTATTTTATGCAAATTGTCATGACCATTGATCAACAACAACTGATCAATGGTCATGAGTACCAGTCACAGAGAGTTGGGGAATGGCTGCAGTCACAGCATTGTAAGATGGTGACAGATGTACCCTTAGACCCCCTCCTCGATTCAGAGATGGCCTCCTTGACTCAGCGCTCAAACCAGCGTTCCTCCCTGTCCAGGATGTGCACATCCTCATCATTGAAAGAGTTTCCACTGGGCTGCAGGTGTAAATAGACTGCAGAGTCCTGGCCTGACGAGGTAGCTCTTCTGTTGTGCCATCCGCTCTAGAAGGACTTGCAGCTCTGTAGCAGGTATTTGTTGTTGAATGGTGTCACAGAACATTCAGCAGTGCTGTGACTGAGCCATAAATGTCAGAGCTCAGATGAGGCCCACACATGTGTGTTATCTGTTGTTGCTACACACAGTTAAGATATGGAACATGTGAACATGAGACATATGAAGAGACTGAACAGATAAAATGTCCTTTATATCCATCAGTGACTTTTTATTCTTTTAAACTTGTGCTGCTTCTTTTTGACTCGAGTTAGTGTG